AGGCAATGGCACCCCACTCCAGTACTCTTGCCTGGAAAATCACATGGACAGAGGAGCCTTGTAGGCTGCAGTCCATGGGGTCGCTAAGAGTTGGACACGACTGAGCAACTTCACTTTCACTTTTCAATTTCATGCAACCCACTCCAGTGTTCTTGCCTGGAGAATCCCAGGAATGGGGGAGCCTGGTGGGCTGCCATCTATGGAGCTGCACAAAGCCGGACATGACTGAAGCAACTTAGCAGCAGCAGCAGCAGCAATATAGTTCAGAGAAAATAAAATTCTTTTTCCCCCTTTACTTATTGTTATTTTTTATAGTAGGAAATAAAGGATTTTTCCTAGGCTTGCTCCACCACCTAACATCAGTTTGTGTGTATGTATTAGCCTGACTCTTTGTGACCCTTTGGACTGTACCCCACCAGACTCCTCTGACCATGGGATTCTCTAGCAAGAATACTGGAGTGGGTAGCCATTCCCTTCTCCAGGGGATCTTCCCAACCCAAGGATTGAACCTTGGTCTCCTACATTGCAGGCAGATTCTTTACCATCTGAGCCCCAGGGAAGCCCCCACCTCACATCATGCAAGAGTAACTTTCTACAGCTGTCTGTGCATGAAACTGTCACTATGTCCTACCTTATTCCTCTGGGAAATGAACTTTCCAAGCAACTTTATTCCAGTCCCTCATTGTTCAGAGCACAGACTGTGTATGTAAATGTGTAAGCAATAGGTAAGATGTGTACTGCATCCACAGGATGCCTCTTAAAGTTGAATTTGAAAAAAGAACCTGTCACCATTATTTCTGTAACAGCAGCTCCAAGTAGCCAAGGGCAACACAAGTTAAGTGGCTCAGTAGTCAAGAATCCACCTGTCAATGCAGGAGATGCAGGTCCGATCCCTGGGTTGGGAAGATTCCCATGGAGAAGGAAATGGCAACCTACTCCAGTATTCTTGCCTGGAAAATCTCATGGACAGAGGACCCCAGCAGGCTACAGTCCATGAAGTCACAAAAGAGTCAGATACGACTTAGTGACTAAACAGCAACAATGCAAATTAATGCATTGAATGTTTGGGCAGCAGAACTTGGGGAGATCTTATTGTCCACATGATATTCATTATGCTATGAAATCAGACAATCACCTTGGCCAAACTAGGCATAGAAAAGAAAGTGAAAGTGAAAGTCACTCAGTTGTGTCTGACTCTGTGACCCCATGGACTATACAGTCCGTGGAATTCTCCAGGCCAGAATGTAGTGGGTAGCCTGTCCCTTCTCCAGGGGATCTTCCCAACCTAGGGATCGAATCCAGGTCTTCCGCATTATGGGCGGATTCTTTAACAGCTGAGCCACAAGGAAAGCTAAAGAATGCTGGAGTGGGTAGCCTTTCCCTTCTCCAGAGGATCTTCCCAACCCAGGAATCGAACCGGGGTCTCCTGCGTTGCAGGTGGATTCTTTACCAATGAGTATAACCATGTGGTCATAGTCCGTTTCTGTAAATTCTGTTGTCTTCCCAACATAATCCTCTAAACATACATATCTACTTATGGAAATCAGAAGAATCTTCATCTTGCCTCTTCAAACATACCTTTTGTCCTATAAAATATTTGATTTGGTTTTGCCTTTTTGAATTTTTGGATCTACATGACAATGGAGATCCAACCAAATTCCTGAAGTCTCTTGTCTTTCTTTACCCAGTATCTTGGTACCTGTTACAAACCTTAAAAATCATAAGTTATTCAGCAAAGATAGGGAAGCACCTTTTTTCAGTTATTTTTTGATTGCCTTCTTTGGATTGGTGGATGAAGAGATGCTATAATTTGAGCTTTGACCTGGAGGTGTAGTGAATAAAAATGAAAGCATTCTTACTTAGAACAAAGTTTCTATGAAGGACATATCTGGCATTCATTACCATTTTCACAGAGGCAAGGTACTTTGGTTACAAGTAGCAGAAACTTCTTTTAGCCAGCTTTATTAGGTTTTGCTAGAGCTGTCATAACAAAGTACCACAAACTGAGTGGCTTGGAACAACAGGATATTTATTATCTCAGTTTTAGAGACTTGACATCTGAAATCAAGGTGTTAGCAGATCCCTGCTCCCTCTGAACCTGTAGGGAGAAGATTCTTCCTTGCCTCTTCCTAGCTTCAAGTGTTTTGCTGGCACTCTTTGGTGTTTTTTTGGCTTGCTGAAGCGTCATTTCAATCCTCTGTCTTCACATTGCTGTTTTGTCTCTGAGTGTGTCTGTCTTGTCTAACTTTCCATTTTTATAAGGATTTCAGTCATGTTGGATTAAGGCCCATACTAATCACCTCATTTTCATTTTATTACTTCTCTAAAGAACCTGCTTGCAAGTAAGTCCATATTCCAAGGCACTGAAGGTTTGGATTTCAGCATATCTTTTGGGAGAGGTAAACGCATTTCAACCCATAACATCAACTGAAAAAAGGGAATTTAGTGGAAAGATATGAGGTGGCTTGTTTAATTGAAGGAAGAACTAAAGAACTGAGAACCTAAAGGGGCAAGAGCATGACTGCCCAAATATCTAAGGAACAGGAGCTGCTCTCAGTCCTGCTAAGAGCAGGAGGCAGCTGTGGGAATAGAGGGACCTTTGCTGACTTTCCCATCTTTGCATCACTCTGCATGACATTCAGCGTTCCAGGAAAATGTCTGATTAGGTCACTCCCTTGCTAGAAAAGTCAGAGTCACATCATTTATTTTCCTAACTATACAACAGCAAGTGAAAAGAGAATTCCCAAAGGACTTGGGATGCTATTACCAAGAAAGAAGAGGGAAGATGGTAAATGTACAAAACAGTATATAATCTAGCTAATCTAGGCCCTCTAGTAGGAAGTGAGGAAGGGAGCAATTTTTGAAAAAAAAAAAAATTATGTTTTCATATACTCCAAATTCTTCAACTTTTTTGTAAGTAAACCTCTGATGATTATTAATACAGCCATTCAGAAAAATTTGCCTTTCTTATGTAAGTCAAGAGTGTGAGAGAATTCCACTTAATCGTAATTCTTTCCATTACTGAGTTAGCCTTAGTTAGATTTGGCTATCATGTCAGTTTTATAGATAAAGAAAATGAGTTCCGGAGTAATCCTCTCTCTCTCTCATTCTTTGGTTTGTTGTTCTTTGCACCCTGGTCCAGACCAGGACACTCCAGTGTCTTGCTGGGCACAGAGAGTTCCCTGACGCACTGTGGTCACCTACTCTTTGATGCCTTGGGGGGAAGGGTATAATTCTCCTCTCCCATATCCTATGGCACTCTCTTCTCATGCTCCAACACTGGGCTCTCCTTCTCATTTCACCCCCTCTCCCAATTCATCCTGCCACCAGCTTGTCAAAGAATATAGCCTTTGTTCTATTAGTTAGGCTTCGAATTAAGAAAAGAAAGGAAGAGGTGGTAAAAATTAACAAACTGAATTGCATAAAATGAAGGGTATAAGGGGGTGGCTTATCATTAAATGGTGTAAAATCTTAAAGAATAGACTTAGCCCTCCAGGCTGTCTTTTTGCATTTTTTTCTTTGACTTTTCCAAAGACAAATGGCTGATAGGCTTACCATGATATTTTACTTGTCAGATTCAGCGAACTGTCTGGGGATGGAAGTAATGGTCTCCAAGATTGGAACAACATACCAGGAACAGTCTAGGAATTAGAGGCCAGATCATTGAGTGGGGCAAGTTGTACCTCTCTCTGGAGATAAGAAGAAAGCTAGTACCATAGGCAGGACTTCCTTGGTGGCTCAGATGGTAAAGCATCTGTCTACAATGCGGGAGACCCGGGTTCGATCCCTGAGTCAGGAAGATCCCTTGGAGAAGGAAATGGCAACCCACTCCAATACTATTGCCTGGAAAATCCCAAGGACGGAGGAGCCTGGTAGGCTGCAGCCTGTGGGGTCGCAATTAGTCAGACACGACTGAGTGATTTCACTTTCACTTTCAGTAACAAAGGCAGAATCTGAGCTCTGGAAACCATGAGCAGAGAGTCCCCTGAAAGAGATCAGACCCTGATAAATGGGAATGAGATGGTCTCTACCAGTAGGTAGGAAATGATGGAGCAGGAAATATTTGAAGCTTTACTTTCTTGGTATCAGAGAAACAATTAAATGCTTCAGTCCAGAAATAATACATGTCGATTTTATTCATGACTCAGGCCAAAATAGTCATTTGGCCCCACTCAACCACAAGGAGGCCAGGAACTGGACATACGTAGCAAACAGCAGTGATGATTTCCACTTGTCAGACTGCAAACTGCAGGTTCCTCCCCCTCAGGCTCTATTTCAGGAGATCTTTGAAATCTGCATTTTAAGCAGATCTCCTCAGGTGAGTCTGATATAGAGAGGAAGGGCAGAATCCCTGGATCAAAATTGAAAGAACACTGACTTAGAGCATCAACTCAGTGTAGGTAGGTATCAAGAGGATGGGGCAAGTTTGAGATACTGTTCTTAGAGCTCAGATGTAGGGCCAACTCTGGATTACCTCACGTTGTTGTCAAAAGGACTGCATATATCTGGACACAGATGCCCAGAGAGCTGGGCAGTAGCCTTTAAAATTCCTAGGCATGAGGGTAGTGTTAGGTCTCTGCCTGAGACAGAGCAGACTCTCCGGTATACGTTGAGTTTCTCAGGTATCAGGAGAGGAAGAGGGATATGGGACCAATGTCTGGTAATGGTTCTCATATGTGTGATCTAAAGTTTATATTTATAGTATCAGAAACTCACTGGACAATACAATATTTTATTGTACAATTGCTTTTTATTTTCTCTGTTGTTCTCCCACTTCTCTCTCCCTTCCTCTACTACCCTCTCATCCAATTTCCCCCTTCTCGTTCTTTTTTCCTCCTTCTTTATTTTTATTCTCTACTTCCCCCTCTAATTTTCCCCTTTCCCACTATTCCCTCTTCTTATTTCCCTTCTCCTCTGAACTCTCTCATGAATTATGCCTCCTCCTTCTCCCTCTCATCTATCCTTTCCCTTGGCACCCACCCCCTCTATTCTCTCTCCAGGTATTATGCCATCTGCTGCCAGCCTTTGGTCTATAGGAACAAGATGACCCCTCTGCGCATCGCATTAATGCTGGGAGGCTGCTGGGTCATCCCCATGTTTATCTCTTTTCTCCCTATAATGCAAGGCTGGAATAACATTGGAATAATTGATTTGGTGAGTACTCATGCAGACCCTATGGGTTTGCTGTCTGACTAACTTTGTTTGCTTGGGATTCTAAATAAACAAACAATGTCAGGTTAGGTGGGTATCCTAAGAAAGATCCTGACAGAATAACAACAATAACAACAACAACAACAACAAAAAGCAGGCTAACATTTATGAAAGTTTACTGTATGCCAGAAGGTAGTACACTAAATACATGTAATCCTGACAGCAGCATCCCTTTGGGAAAATTATAATAATTTCCCCCCATTTCACAACTGAGAAAACTCAGGTTCGAAAGTGGTAAAGTAATGTGCCTGTGAATTCACAGCTAATGAATAGTGGAACAGGTATTCAAAGCTTAGCAGACAAACTCCAGAGTCTGAGTATTCCAAGACACCTTCATCTCATTTCATGCTGAGACCCTTTGAGGCTTATGGTGACCCACGGAAAACCTGTCATGGGGGTGGAGGTTTCCAGAGAATGATGGGCCAGGAGTCCAGAACTGGACCCTGAGCCCAGTTCTGTCACTGAGATACTTCCTGAAGGGCTGTGGTGAGAAGGTCCTTGGGTCCTCATTGGGAACAGTGTCTTTGAGCAGTGCAGGAAAACACAGGTTGCAAGCATCTGTCAACTCCTGTCTAGATGCTCTTGAGTTTCCAACTCTGACATACTTTATTTTCAATATCAAACTTGCATTGAAGATTGAAAGCTATGGTTTGGATATATATATATACACTTTTTTCCCTAAGGAAGTTGTTAGGCAGTTACTTTAAGATGGATCCCAGGACTCTGACCAGGGAATGGGGAGGAGAGATTGAGAGTGAGCTCTGACCGAAGAGGACCAGTCAGAATAGGAGCTGCTCATTCCTCTCTCCATCCCTCCTAGCCCCTAATCTTGCCTTATTCTTTGTCCAGGAAAGGATATCCAAGCCAAGACTGGGCCAGGATTTGCATGTGGTATGTCAGAACGAGAGTTCCTTGGGCTTCTGAAAGAAATGCTGGGGACAGAGGAGTGGAGAAATGAAAGGGGATCCGTACAAGGGAGACTGTATGGATATTTTTTTTAAATCCTATCCCTTTTCTTTCAAGCTTTCAGTTTTATCATTCTTGGGGGAAGTGAAATCCAAATTTCTAATAATGAGTGGATAAATATAATAATGGCCAGCAAATGTTGAACACTTACTGTGTGCTGAGCCCTGTGTTAATTTAATCATTGTCTCACTCAGGACTCACAACAGTGCTGTGAAGTAGTCCTGTCATCATTCTCAGGAAACTGAGGGTCAATGAGGTTAAGTCACACTGGTAGGGAGTGCTGGTGACTAGAGCTAAGCCCAAGCTTACTGGACCCAAGAGTCTATGTTCTTATGTTTGTGCTAAACTTAATCCCTAATGGAGAAGACCTTTGGAAGTATAAGCTTCTGTGCATCAAAATTTGTAACAAGAACTCAACACTCTTACCTTCTGACGTAGAACTTCCAAGAGAAATAACCTAGTGAACTGTGTTCTTTTGTGACAGTGAGATAGAAGCATCCCTTGTTTAATTCATGTAACTGGGGAATGGGGCATCTGCTTACTATTAACATGCTTAGTGTTTGCTCCATGATATTGTAATTGCATTTCATATCTTTCACTCATTTGCACATTAATTGGCCTAGAGAGAAACTAGCATAACCCAGGTGTTCTCTATACATGTGTATTTGATCCTTGTTATTCATAGTAATAAAGTTGCTGCAAATACTGAATTAGCAAATCATGAATTTTTGTTCCTGGGTGAAATATAGGATTCAGTTCCTGTGACTTGAGGCAAGTAACACTGAGATAAAAAGAGATTTTATTATGATAATAATGTCAATTCAATAAGAAGGTATACTCTAACCTTACAATATACTATAAGACAAGATACTAAATGTGTACACAATGAATGAAATAGCATATTGTTTATCATACATATTTTTATTCATATCTGTATTCACGTGTATGTTCACACTGGATGCAGGCTGACCTCAGGAGGGGAAGTGTCATTGGGTTACACAGCTCTTTTCAACCAAGATCTATTCCTAGAGAAGACTGATAACCAAGAGCCATCAGCATGCAGAGTTTATAGGTGGAAGAAAAGTCTCATTTCCTAAGATGAATCTAGTATATCATAGTATTCAAGGCGAGTGAGGTTTATACCAGTAGTACAACACTATATGCCACTGTATAAATTAAAGAAAGAAGAGAAAACCCACATGATCATCTTATTACTATCAAAAATGCATTGACAAGATTCAAAATACAATCATAATTAAAAAATTTTTCATCAAAGTAAGAATAGAAGGAAGCTTTCTCAAACAGAGGGCATTAACAAAAAACTGACAGCAAATGTCATACTTAATAGTAAAATATTGAAATCTCCCCTCCTAAAACTGGGACTGGAACAGTGGTGTCCACTGTTACCATTTTTATTCATTATTGTACTAGAGATCTTACTAAGTTCAACATGCAAGGAAAAATGGTATTAAGACTAGAAAGAAAGAAATGAAGTTGTCATTATTTGCAGATCACATGATTATTCATGGAAAACATTCAGAAGAATCTAAAGATGAAATATTAGTTACTAATTTAACAAAATTGTTGAATACATAGCCAATATACAAAAATTTTTCAGAGTTCTACATATTAGCAGCAGACAGTTTGGAATATGAATTTAGCATAGTACTATTTGCATTAGAATAAAAATGCAAATGTTTAGGTTAAATCTGGCAAAAGATGTTTATATAAAAATGTAAAATATTACTGAAATAAATTCTGAAAGACTTACATAAAGGAAAGAATTATCATGCTTGTGAATTGGAAATCTTAACATTGAAAAAATGTCATTTTTCCTCAGTTATGCTATTCTAGTTCCTATCAAAAGTCTAGAAGATTTTTATGGAAATACTGAGAGATAAGAAGACCCAAAGCAGCCAAAAGCATATTCCTTTTCTACCGTCATGGTTTTATATGCTGTAGGCTTATTAGAAGAAAAACAAAAGTTTTGCTGATAAACCTTTTTCATTTTCTTTCCCCTCACCATTTTCTTTTATCAATCCCTCCCTTTCCTTCTCTATTCCTTTCCTCTTTCTTTCGACCTTCCACATCATCCTTTTCTCTTCTTTTTCATCCTTTGTATTTTCTTACAATTTTTCTCATTCCTCTCCTGCTCCTTCCTATTCACTTTTTTCTTCCTTTCCCCCCACTCTACTTCCTCACTTCCTCTTTCCCTCTCTCAGATAGAAAAAAGGAAGTTCAAGCAGAACTCTAACTCTACGTACTGTATCTTCATGGTCAACAAGCCCTATGCCATCACCTGCTCCGTGGTAGCCTTCTACATCCCATTTCTCCTCATGGTGCTGGCCTATTATCGCATCTATGTCACAGCTAAGGAGCATGCTCACCAGATCCAGATGCTACAACGGGCAGGAGCCCCCACAGAGGGTAGGCTCCAACCAACAGACCAGCATAGCACTCATCGCATGAGGACAGAGACCAAAGCAGCCAAGACTCTGTGCATCATCATGGGCTGCTTCTGCCTTTGCTGGGCTCCATTCTTTGTCACCAATATTGTGGATCCATTCGTAGACTATACTGTTCCTGGGCAGGTGTGGACTGCTTTCCTCTGGCTTGGCTACATCAATTCTGGGTTGAACCCCTTTCTCTACGCCTTCTTGAATAAGTCTTTTAGACGTGCCTTCCTCATCATCCTCTGCTGTGATGATGAACGCTACCGAAGACCTTCCATTCTGGGCCAGACTGTCCCCTGTTCAACCACAACCATTAATGGATCCACACATGTGCTAAGGTGAGTGCTCTGGGGCTTATTAGATTTTGATCACTTGCATGACTCAGAAGAGGTAACTTGAGTTTTCTGTTTCCAGATGGATTATTCTTAAAAATTTGTGTAGTATTTTCAAAGATTAAAATAAACTTCTCCCATCTGTTAATGGAATAGAGTAGTGGATAAGCACTTAGGCACTGGGGGACAATGTCCTGTATTCAAATCCAGACTCCAGAGTTCTTTGACTTCAGGCAAGTCATTTAACCATCCTGAACCTTTAATTTCATTTAAAAAATGAAAATCATAATCACAATTTCTACATCTTTTTTGAGAATCATATTAGCTACTATGTATAAAGCATATGGTACAGAATCTGACACCTAGTAAGAATATAGTATATATTATCTACTCCTATTCACAGGTACTATTTTAGGGTAGTAATTAAAGCCATAGTAAAATAGTCTTTATTTTGATCCTCAGTGACACTACTAATCATTTGCATGATCTTTCTTGATTTTTACTTTTTTAAACTGTAAAAAATGGTAATAATTATAACACCATCATATAGGACTTTTATGACAATTAGGGGTAATCATATAGGGCCTGACACATAGAAAGTGCTCATAATACTACTAATAATATTGTAAATATTAGTAGGAGTAGAACTAATAGCATATAACCTGATACCATAAGATGGCTATAAAATAACATGATAAGCTAAAATTAAACAAAGTGATAAATGTGCAATAGTAATGCCATGTGATAAATGATATAATGGAAGTATGGACAATGTAGACTGGGGATATGAGTAGGAAAGAAGCTGATTTGGTTAAGGGAATGAGGGAAAACTTCACAGAACAACATTTTATAAGAATTCAGCCTTGGAGGAGATGTCAAGAAGGCATTCCAGATAGAATGAGCAGCATGAGGAGGGCACTGGAATATGAAAGAGTGTGGAAAGGTTAGGTGATTTACCCAAGGTCTCATAGGTTGATGGAGGTAGGAGAAAATTTGGAGTTGATTTTCAGTGACTAGGCATGATGCCTCTTTCCCAACTCTGATAACTTTCTTGCTGCCCTGGCTTACAGTTGTTCTTAGCTGTGAAACTGTGAAAAGCCATGTGTGATAAGTACATTTATCCTTTAGCAAAGATGAATCATTAACAACATTTTTTTCCTTTGTCCTGAGATGCACAGGAATTTCCACACAGCAGCTCCTTCTCTGAGACAAGCATTTAATTTTTCTGATGATGACAATATTTAGCTGTTTTGGCAGCTTAAAATTGGGGACTTTTCATTTGCATGTGTAAGAAAAGAAGAAAACAGGAATTTCTATGAAATATCAATACTTTGCTTCAGAGATTTCTCAGAAACATAAATTCAATTTTCTGTTACCGGTGTGAACAGACTTGCAGTTAAATCCTAGTATGATGTTGAGATTCTAGCTGGTAGAAAGGCCTCAAAGGATACTTCTATAGGCTGGCATTCTTATTTATAAATAATTATTGTGCCTTCATGAGTGTTGCAGAAAGGATCTTACAGAAAAGTGAAGTTTGTGTATTAGAACTTCTGTATGGGTGCCAGAGAGCTTTTAGTGATTTAAGCTTAGTTGCCTACTACTTAGAGAGTCTGTTCTAGCAGTGCCTTTACTAAGACAGTTGTTTAGAACTGGTGCCTTTTCCCCACACTAACAGTCATAGATTTAGGGTTTCTAGGAAAGCCCAGGAAACCTATTTTACTAATACTATATTATTTTATCCCTCCTCCTTTTGGAAATCTGCAGCATGATTGTTAAGCAGAGAGAGCAGTTTAGAGATGGCTTATGTATATATCCTTCACACTTTGTTCCTTATATTTATTTCTTCCTGAGGCCATGAAAAGTATAGGAAATTGGTATCAGGTATTTCACTGTGGAGGTGAAGAATCTTGTAAGAGTGGAGGTAGCCTATACAGAGAAGAGAAAACTATTTGACTCCACAAGAGTGTAAACCCTGCAAGGACAGGAATCCTGCCCGTTTTATTCCTGCGACATAACAAATGCACAATATGCTGCTTGATGTATAATTTAACAAATCATAAAATTAATTCTCCAGATTGACTATTTTAACTCAATCTAAGAAAAATGTGTGTTTTTCCTAAAAATCCCACAAGTAGGACATCAACAAATACAGATGAATGAATGAAATATAAAACCTGTAGCAATGAAAAGTAGAGTCAGCTTTTATCCTACTAACCCAGCCCCTATATAACAGTTACCACTAGTCTATAATCTTTTCAATGCATTTACAAACATTCATAAAAACATACACATTCGCAGATTTTTTTTCTCCTTTCATTTTACATAAATGGAGCCATTCTGTGTGTACTTTTCTGGACCTTGCTTTTTATTCTTTAACAATGCATTTTAGAGATCATCCCACTCAGACATATAGATCTAACTCATTATTTTTAACGGTTACATAATCTTCTGTACTAAAAATACATATTACATTTTATTTAATTATTTCCCATTAATGGATACGTAGGTGTCTCCAATCTTTTGCTATTGCAAACTGTACTATTTTTAATGCCCTGAAACACATTTCTTTGTGCATGTGCCAGTATTCCTTTCAGATAACTACTGAAAGTGAAATTGCACTATTGACAATTATGTGCATTTAAGAATGTTATGCTTACCATAAAACTGACCTCCCAGAGCACCATTGGAGAAGGCAATGGAAACCCACTCCGGTATTCTTGCCTAGAGAATCCCTTGGACAGAGGAGCCTGGTGGGCTGCTGTCCATGGGGTTGCACAGAGTCGGACACGACTGAAGCGACTTGGCACGGCAGAGCACCATAGTACCTTGCATTTTCATCAGCAGGCTGTGAGAGTATCTGCTACTCTTTCCCCTCACTGGATATTATGCATCTTTTATTAATATACGGCTTTGAAATATGCTCTTTCATTTTATTTGCATTTCCCAGATGATTTGATAGATTGGCCCTTTTTTAAATTAGTTATTGACTGCACCTTCCTATATTTGGTACTTTGTCTGAAAACTATGTTCTATTTTTCTGATTAATTTCTAGATGTTCTTTATTATATTCCAAATATTAATCTTTTGTTAGATAAGTTGAAGAAACATACTCCTATCTTCTGCTTGATTTTGAACTTTGGTTAGCTTTTTTCTTACAGGAGTTTCAAATTTTGAAAAAACTCTTCTTATTTGACCTCTTGCAGTTGACTCAGCTTTTTTCTTGAAAAATTTCCTAAATTAATTTTCTTAAACAACATATTTGTCTGGGTTTCCTCTTAACTCAATATCAATACCTTCTGAGAATCCTTAACATGTTCTTCCTTTTCTATGTGGCCTCTAAATGTTGGAGTTCTTCAGCACTTGGTTCCTAACACTCTCCTCAAACTACATTCTCACTTTATGTGATTTAAGCATCCATAGCTTTAAATGCAATCATCATGCTGTCCAACCCTCTCTTTAATTTATATCTCCAGGTCATAGCTGCCCTTCGAACTCCAGACCACAAGATCCAATTTGCTTCCTTGACAACCCCATTTATATGTTTCTCTGGAATATCAAATTTCATGCATCCAAAATAGAATTCTTCTATTTCTCACACCCCAGCCACAAATTTCCTGAGTCTTCCCTGTCTCCGTAAGTAGAGCTATCATCTACCATATTAATAAACGGCCCTGAGGGAGAGCTAACATGTTAGAAGGCAGACTTAAAGGTTTTAGAAAGGAAAACCAATCAGCCAATGTTGGAAATATGGAGTTAAATCTAAATAAATGCAAATTTTAACCATACAAGCAAAATATAAATCACAGAAATGTAGGATGATGCCTGAACAAATTTATAGCTGTGTATGTCAAATTTGAAACTGTGTGTCAGTTTCCTCTTCCAAGGCATCTATTGACAAAGTATGGGGCAGCCCACCAGAGACCTCCTTCCATATCACTAATAATAATGATTATGATCATTATGCCTAACATAATTCCAGAAAAGTGTGCCAGTTACTGTATTTAAGAACTTTGAAATCATTGTTGCATTTAATTTTCACAACACCCAAAGAATTTGGTGTTATAATTATTGTCATTTTAACAATGAGTAAACCAAGGTTTAAAGAGGGTAAGTAACTGGCCCAAATTCATACAAGTAAATAGTAAATGATGAACCTGGAAGCTGGAATCCAGATCCTAGTTTTCCTGACTCCAGAGTTCAGTCTTGTCAAGCCCACTTAGAGTCAGGAATAGGGTTACCACTTCTCATGTTCATCCTGGGATAAATTAGGGGAGATATTTATCAGTCTGTCAACTCTGCCATCATGCTCATGTTTCTCTATCTTGTCTGCAAACTGTGAAGATTAGTAACTTGTTCAAATCCAGGCATTTTCTCCATCTCTTTTCTAAAAAGGTACTAAAGTTAGATCAGATAAGTCTATTCTTTGTACTCTCATTGACTTCTTGCCTGGGCACACATTGACTATTCAAAGAAATAATCAATTTAATAGAAACTCATCTCAGGATAGACACTAACCTCTTCTATAGAAAACACCCTTTTTGTGTTTTTTTCAATTGGATCCGTTGTTCTTCTCTGCTTCCTCTGAATAGCGGTGACCTGTTTACAGTACTCTTTCTCGCATTTGTACTGCTTGAGATTATAGAGTTCCTTATTTAACCCCTACAAGGCCAATTATTCCTCAAGGGTAGAAACCATGGCTTTCTTCTCTCTGTATACCATTTAGCCCTCACACAGTGTCTACAAAATAGTATATAACCAAATGATCAGTACATTTTTGCTGATGAAATATCTTCATGATTGTCTTCAGATTTATGAAAGATTCACATGCTCAAAACTGAAAGTTACTTTTTTTTTTTTAATCTTCCCTAAGACTCTTAATGTAGAGGACTTAGTCTACAATCCAAGACTCACACTGAGGAGAGCCAGTTAATGGCAGCACTCTGAGACTCTGACCTTTTTTCCTCTTAAAATCTTTTTGAAAAAATGGAATTTTACTTTTCCAAGTT